AAATCATTTCAAAACAACTAACTTTTCACTCTACCCATATTCAATTTAGAAACTACCCACTAAACTCCCTACAAAGAAACGGCAATGGCACGGCCGGTTAAGAGGCAAGCAGTAGGAGTAGTAGCGGATGACATTGATGAGAAACACCTTTTGGCTTTCATTGTGAAGGAGAAATACAGTAATGATGATAAATGCAAAGAAGAACTCGAGAAATATTGTGAAGAGTTGAAGAAAGCAGATGGTTTGAAAGTAAATGATAAAGTTAAAGGACTTTGTGAAGAGAACGATAAAAAAAAAAAATGCAAAGACCTGAAAGTTGAAGATGAATTGGTAAATTTTGATACGGAACTTGAAGGAGCATTGCCAGATGACATACAAGATGAAAATTGTAAAAAATATGAAGAAAAATGTATACTTTTAGAGGAAGCAGACCCAGCTAATCTTAAGGAGAACTGTGTCGAGTTGAGGGAAGGATGTTACAAATTGAAGCGTGAAAAGGTGGCAGAGGAGCTCCTTTTGAGGGCGCTCGGAAAGGAAGCTAAAGAAAAAAACACATGTGAACTAAAGATGAAAACTGTTTGCCCAGTGTTAAGCCGAGAAAGCGACGAATTGATGTTTTTCTGCCTTGATCCGACTAAAACATGTGGAGATCTGAAAGGGAAATTGGATACTGTTTGCAAACCTTTAAAAGAAGAGCTTAAAGATGGCGAATTAGACGGAAAGTGTTATGAAAAACTTGAAAAATGTCATTTTTATGGAGAAGCGTGTGATGGTGCGAAATGTAAGGAGGATAAGACGAAATGCGAGGGAAAAGGATTCACATATAAAGCGCCAGAATCTGATTTTAGTCCGGTGAAACCAAAGGCGTCGTTGTTAAGAAGTATTGGGTTGGATGATGTCTATAAAAAAGCTGAAAAAGAAGGAATTATTATTGGAAAATCAGGAGTGGATCTACCAAGGAAGTCAGGTACAAAATTTCTGCAAGATCTCTTGCTAGTCTTGAGCAGAGATGAGGATAAGAAGGAACCAGATAAAAAGTGCACTAAAGCGTTAGAAAAATGTGATGCTTCTAAGTATTTGAATACTGAATTGGAAAAGTTATGTAAAGATGGAAACAAAAACGAAAAATGCAAAAAAATATTAGATGTAAAAGAAAGATGTACAAATCTCAAATTAAAACTTTATCTGAAAGGATTGTCTACGGAATATGATGATCAAGAATCAGATCCTTTATCGTGGGGACAGCTGCCAACTTTTTTTATAAAAGGAGAGTGTGCAGAACTTGAGTCGGAATGTTTCTATTTAGAAAAGGCGTGTAAAGATAATAATATTGATAAAGCGTGCCAAAATGCAAGAGCAGCGTGCTATAAAAAGGGACAAGACAGGATGTTGAATAAGTTCTTTCAAAAGGAATTGAAGGGAAAGCTTGGTCATGTAAGATTTTATAGCGATCCTAAAGATTGTAAAAAATATGTGGTAGAAAACTGTACAAAACTTGATAAAAAATATCTTCCACGATGTCTTTATCCTAAAGAACTATGTTATGGGCTTTCAAATGATATTTTTCTTCAATCCAAAGAGTTAAGTGCGCTTTTGGATGATCAAAGGGATTTTCCATTAAAAAAGGATTGTGTTGAGTTGAAGGAGAAGTGTGATGAACTTAGTAGTGATTCATTATTGAATTTAGAAAAGTGTATAACATTGAAAAGACGTTGTGAATACTTTAGAGTTTCAGAGGGATTTAGAAATGTATTTTTAGAAAAAAAGGATGATTCGTTAATGACTCAGGATAACTGTACAAAGGCATTGCATGAGAAATGCCATCAATTATATAGGAGGAGAAAGAATTCATTTAGTGTTTCATGTGCTTTACCAGAAGAAACATGTAGTTATATGGTATTCCATACAAGTCAAGATTGTAGTAGTTTAAAAGTCAACATCAAGAATGAAAAAATTCTAGAAAAAATTGGAGAAGAAATTAAAAAAGCAAATAAAAATGAAGCCTTGGTTGAAGAACTCTGCACAACATGGGGCCGACATTGTCACCAACTTATGGAGAATTGTCCGGATGACTTGAAAAAAAAAGAGAATGGCAATGGCAATGATCATAACTGCGAAGCACTCCAAGAAAAATGCAATAAAACCTTTGAAAAGTTGAAATTAGAGGAGGAGCTGAGTCATCTGTTGAAAGGCAGTTTAAAGGATGATAAATGTAAAGAAGCATTAGGAAAGCGTTGCACTGAGTTGGAAAAGAATGAAGCATTCAAAACTCTGTATGGTAAATGTGATGATAATACCAAGGAAAATGTTTGCAAAAAATTAGTTGATAAAGTAAAAAAGAGATGCCCTACTTTAAAAGACGAACTGGAGAATGCGAAAAAAGAGTTGACAAAGATGAAGAATGAGTACGATGATCTCAAAAAGGCGGCAGAAAAATCTACGGAGGCAGCTAAGTTATTGCTATCAAGACCTAGACAAACTGTAATGCCAAATGCGCAGAATGGCAGTGATTCTACACTAGTACCACCACCACCACAAGCACCAGCAGGGCCACCACCACCAGGGTCACCACCACCACCACCATCACAAAATGGAACGCCAGGCACACCAGGTGGAGAAACAGGCGCATCAGGTGGAACACCAGGCACACCAGGCACACCAGGCACACCAGGCACACCAGGTGGAATGATGAAGTATGCAAAACTTGGACTCGTTAAAAGAACGTATGTAGATGGAGGTGTATCAGAAGTAGAGGTCAAAGCATTTGATGCAACGACGATAGCATTGGAATTGTATTTGGAATTGAAAGAAGAATGTAAAGCTTTAGAATTAGATTGCGGTTTTAAAGAGGATTGTCCAGATACTAAACAAGCTTGCGAAAATATAGACACTTTATGTAAACTGGAACCATTAGAAATTAAGCCTCATCATACAGAGAAAATAACAGAAACAAAGACGGAAACGAAGACGGAAACAAAGACGGAAACAAAGACTGATGGCAAGGCTGATGAAAAGACCGTTGAGAAGACTGTTACAGAAACCAAGTCAGTAGGTGGAGGAAAAGTAACAGAAGAGTGTACAATGATACAAACAACAGATACATGGGTGACGAGTACGTCATTGCATACGAGTACGACAACGAGTACGTCAACGGTGACGTCGACAGTGACGTTGACTTCGATGCGCAAGTGCAAGCCTACCAAATGTACCACCGATTCAAGCAAAGAGACACAGAAAGAAGAAGATGATGAAGAAGTGAAACCGAATGAGGGAATGAAAATAAGAGTTCCTGATATGATTAAAATAATGTTGTTGGGAGTGATTGTTATGGGGATGATGTAAAATGAATGAAAAAAATGTTAATAGATTGAAAATGTGCATATATCCATTGTTTATATATAATAAAAATGTAAATGAATGAAATGAAGTTTTAATAATTTTAACACAGAATCTTAGTTCGAAACTATGCTTTATCGGGTAAAGTTTAAGCTTATCAAAGAGCTAATAAAATTTATGATAAGAAGATGTTTAAATTTGTTGTAAAAGCAGTTGAATGAATGGATTATTGTGAAAAAAGAGAGTTCTGCGTATCTTAAAGAATTAGTAGGGGTTATCATTATTTTAAAAA